CAACCAACCCCATCTGTCCACCGTTGCATCATAGATAATATCCTGCTCAGCAAGCACCTTATAAATATTTTTAACCGAAATAGAACTAGCACTATCAAGGTCCCAAATCATACAATCGGAACCATCCTCAGAAGCAGGCGACAAGGTCCCACGAAATAAGTCAGTAACGTTCGTAGGAAACCAAACATTTAATAAATCATAGTCCCACTCACCATCCTGCTTAACCAGATCAGCCACACAAAGGTCATTATCAAGGCTGGGCACCGTGCTACGAACAAGGCCATGAAGAGGCTGATCCAAAGATAACCAATTATTGTTCCAGAAAGAAACAACTCTACCATCTCCAACCTCCCATCAAAGCCTACCCTCCATCTCCTTCCAAATACGGCACATGTTTCTCCACAACGCAGAATCACCAGCACAAGCCACGAACTTGCCATTCCTCCTAGAACCCGAATCATATTTAGCTTTCAAGACATGAAACCACAAATGATCAGGATTATTGGAAAAATTCCAAACTCTTTTTGCAAGGAAAGCATAATTAATAATGGATAACCGCTTGAGACCAAGACCCCTCACTTCCTTCGACAAAGCGACAGTTTTCCAGTTAAGAAGATGATGAACTCTTCTACCATCTTTATCACCCCAAATGAAATTACGTTGCATTCTTTCAATATCCTGACAAACAGACACAGGAAGCTTACAGCTTTGCATCTGAAAAAAGGGCATTGATGCCAAAACATATTGAGATAAGGTAATCCTACCAGCCTGAGATAGAGATTGTTGGTTCCAGACATTTAACTTGTCTCTAAGCTTATCAATAATGCCCGCATACATTTCCTTAGAGGCTCGACCATGCTGCATCATGGAACCTAAGTACCTTCCCATGTTCTTTACATGCTTGAAACCACTTTTCTGAGTAATTTTGGAAATAACCTCATCATTAACATTCTTGGAGAAGTAAAAACTCGTTTTATCAATGCTAAGCTTCTGGCCTGAGACTTCCTCAAACAGCTTGAGACACTTCAATAGAATATCAAGCTGATCCTCCCTAGCTTCCATAAACATCATCAAATCATCAGCAAAAGTAATATGAGATATACTAGGCCCATCTTTTCCAACCCGAATTGGCTTCCAAAGACCCCCATGCACTGCAATGTTAATAATGTGAGTGAGTTTCTCCAGAGCAATAACAAAGAGTTACAGAGATAGAGGATCCCCTTTCTGGATACCACGTGAAGGTCTGAAATTCTCAGTCTTACGACCATTCCACATGACATTAATCGATGCTGTTTGAACACAATTCATTATCAAATCAATAAACTGCATGGGAAACTTAATTTCCTCCAGAATCCTTCTCAAAAAATTCCAGGAGATCCTGTCATAAGCCTTGACTAAATCAATCTTCACTGCCATAAATCCCCTTCTACCTCTCATTTTGTGCATTGAATGGATCAGTTCTTGAACAATGACAATATTGTCTTGGATTTGACGATGAGGAACAAAACTAACCTGAGAAGGGGAAATGAGCCTCTCCATAACAGGTTTTAAACGATGGACAATAACTTTAGACAACAACTTGTATAAAACAGGACACAAAGAAATCGGTCTGAACTTGGAGATACAATCTGGATTTTTAATCTTAGGGATCAGGACCAACAAGGTTCTATTAATCTCCTCCACCTTATTCGGGTTCAACCACATGTTGGTCACAGCTTTGAAAACCTGATCCTTAACATTATTCCATTGTCTCTGGAAGAAGATAACAGGGAAACCATCTAACCCTGGAGCTTTAAAACCATTCATATTTTTCATAAGCTTAGTAACCTCATCCATACTAGGGGTCTTAACCATCTTAGTCTTGACATCCTGAGATAAATTCATCCAGTGAGTGGAAGAGGATAACCACCTCCGCTCCTCCACCTCCTCTTTGAAAAGATTTTTATAAAAATTGCAGACCAACACTTTTAACTCCTCAGGATTATCAATCCATTGGTTGCTATCATTTCTCAGCCTGGAAATCTTATTATTGCTTCGACGAATGACAGTCTTCAAATGGTAGAACCGAGTATTCTTATCACCATCCACAATCCAATTTTGCCTAGATTTTTGAAACCACAACATTTCCTCCTCTTCAAGCACTAGGTCTAAACTGTTCTGCAAATAAAACTCTAACTCTTGCAAGTTTTGACTATCCGTGTTTGATCTTTGAACCTGAACTGAAGTAATATCACTGATTAAATCATTCTTCCTCTTTCTTATACTCCCATACACCTCCTTATTCCATCTTTGAAAATGCGGAACAAAGCCATTAAGCATCTGGGTACAATCAACACTTTTGTCCCACTTCTCCAACATTAGGTCATTAAAATTGGAATGATGCAGCCAAGAAGCAATGAACCTGAACGGTCTATCCTGCCAATGATGAGACCTAGAAGAAAGTTTAACAAGCAAAGGATTATGATCAGAATGATGACGAGGAAGCACACTAACTTCAGCATCTTCAAAGCAAATTCGCCACCACGTATTAATAACAGCCCTATCAAGCTTTTTGTAAACCCTATGCAAAAGAGCTACAGAGATAGAGGATCCCCTTGCCGGATACCACGAGAAGGTCTGAAATTCTCAGTCTTACCATCATTCCACATGACATTAACCAATTGGAAATTTATTTTAACAAAAAAGCTTTGTGCTTTCACCACTGAATTTGTTAAAATAAATTGTTAAAATATATATATATCTTATAATTTGTTAAAATAAATTATATATATATATATATATTATAATTAATAAATAAGATAAAATTATTTAATTAGCAATTAAAATATATTTAAATATGATAAATTTAAATTTATTTTCTAATTAATCTTAAATTGATTTTATGTCTATCAAAATTTTAATATATAATAAACAAATAAATAAGAAAAATACAATCAGTATTTAAAAATTAGATACAAAGCAAATTTAACCGTGATAAAATTTAATTTATTTTCTAATCATTCTTAAAGATATTTAATGTTTATCTAAATATCAATATATAATAAATAAAATTGGTTTTATTTTGTAATCAATTCAATTGATTTGAGTATTTTTATTTATATTATCTTATATTATATTATCATTTATGTCCTGTGATTTATATATTAATTATGAGTATTTTTATTTAATTATGTAATATTTTATTTTATTTATAAATTTTCAAAAATACTAACAAATCTTATTTAAAGAAGAATCAGTTGCCAATCTTATTTTAAAAAAATCAGTTGCAAATAGGGGTATAAATGGATTGGGCCGGCCTACAGGGCTTACGGCTTAGTCTATATTTGGCCAGACTTGGTCTATTAGAAATAGTAAAATAGAATAGGTCTAGGCTTTTAAAAAATACTATTTAGAAAACAGGTATAGGCTTCTTTGTACATGTTTCTAACCCTATATCATATACATGTTTTCAAGAAAGTTTCTAATATGAATTTTTGGGTTTTATTACATGAAAGTTTAGAGAATTTCTCAAATTATTTTCAATCGATACATTAAAACCTGAATTTATGAGTATTCATTAAATTGTTTTGGGGCTTTTGAAAAACAAGTTTTAGTTATGAATTGATAAAAAAATATTTTGAAATCGTTTTCGTTTCCTATAGTGAAGGAATTTCGTTCATGAATGTACTGTTACGAAATAAATGGTTTATATTATGAAAGTTTCAATCTTTCTTTAAATTGATTTTGTTTCATTGATGAAAAATGAAAATTGATTTGAGGGTTTTATGTTATTTTTAATACAAAAATCATACATTTTTGTGCCAAGAAAAAGCACGACCCATAGCTTGAAAAATCATTTTTTAAACATCCAAAAGCTCTCAAAAATATGCTGTTTTTGAAATATTATAATCTTGTTGGTTTGTTTTTTCTGTATTGTTTTGTTGATAGAATCGCTCAAAAATCTGCTATTTTTGAGGTTTGAAGAAGCTCCTATGCTGGAACCTGGTTTTGAGCGGGTCAACCCATTAAAGGAAGAAGAAAACACTGCAATAGAGAAATCTCAAGAAATCCTAGGGGTTAGGGTGAGATTGTGAGAGAGACATCCTATATATATTTCTCACTAAAAAGTCTCACGGAATCCATACCAATAGAAAATCCATTAAAATCTTTAGATTTTTGAATACCACAAGATTGTTTTTCTTTTGTTTAAAATACTGATTGAAACCTTTACCAAAAAAAAAAAAATACTGATTGAATACCAACAGATTTGGACGAATTCTAAAATAATATTTTAAAATCCTAATCGAATACCACATGACTTTTTTTCAGTCATTTAAAATCCTAATCGAATACCCACAGATTTTTTTGTCCAAAAATAATCCATTAAATTTTTTTGAGATCCCATTCCAATACACCCCTTATTATTTGGATTTGTTATGGACCAGAGTGAGGCCCATAGTCAGCACAAGCCCACAGGTAAGCACTATAAATGGGAGCTAAAGGCCACAGGTATGCGAGATCTTTTTTGACTTACTTTATGCAATCACAGCAGTACACACACACACCTCTCAAGGCTAAGGCCATCATATTGTGTGTAGTGATTTGCTATCCCCAAGATATCTAATTCATAGGTATCTAGAGTGAAGCACTCAAATCCTAGATCAATCATCCAATCACAATTGGACACATCTGCTTCAGGCAGAACATTGGCGTCGTCTGTGGGAATCAGAAAGCTTCCCATAACCAAACAATCTAGAAGACCAATCGAGGAAATGATGAGGGCTACGAGGAGTGGTCTTCGTCAACCTACGACGTCAAATCCTGGGAACCTGCAAGTTCCTCCTCCCATCAGGGAAGATCTAGAAGGACAGAGGCAACAGATCCCAGATCCAGATGCAGTGCACGTTAGTGATGTAAACTGAGATTCCGCGTCAACTCCAGCGGTTGATCCGGATGCACCATATGTACAAGGGTAACAACCCATTGAAGATCCGACTGTGGTAAATCCCGATCCACGGGTGATGGATTTGGCCATGGCAGCTGTTCTTCGAAGGATGGAGGAGTTAGAGCAGCGCAATGAATTGCAGCGACGAGCGGATGCGGGGAAGATCCGGGAACTGGAAGCTCGACTATGGCGGGTTACCAACCCGGATCCTGAGCAAGCCATTACGCAGTTCGTGACAGATCTATAGATTGCGAAGCCATGACAGGATAATCAGGAATAGACTCGTCATGCAGAAAGAACAAATGCTAGCCGACCTCTACAAACTGTGGTTAACCCAGGTTTAAATCAACAACCAACAGACCACAACCCAGATTCCCCTTCCACGGCAGCCCTTAGGCCGAGGTAATCCGAGTCATCACCAGCAACCTCGACACGAAGTAATGCAGACCACATGTGAGGTTCCCCGCCCCCATGGTTAAGGACACCCCATCCGGAACCCGGATGATGTAACCGGGGTATATCGGAGGAAATATAATAGGGGGCAGTATAATGATAGTCCTTTTGCGGATAAGATTGTAGAAGCTCCATACCCGGAGAATTTGAACTTGTCCGAGCTCATCAAGTATGACGGAACACAGGATCCTCAAGTGCATTTAGATGCTTTTGACACAACTATGTATATCAAGGGGATAGAGGAACCCCTGATCACGAGGCTTTTTGCAACCACGTTAATCGGTGCGGCCCAGACATGGTTTTCGTCATTACCAACTGGGTCTATCAGATCCTTCGAAGAATTTGGTGGACGATTTTTGCTCAACTTTGCCACCAGTAAGAAGCAGCCGAAGTCAGAGTTTGCGCTGGGAAAGATTAAGCAGCAACTGGTGAAACGTTGCAGAAATACCTGGATCGGTTCAAATTGGCCGCCCTGCAGGTACCTAGGTTATCGAAAAATGCTCATTTACATCTGGTGATAGTCGGGTTGCATGGAACATCGCGGCTAGCCAAGTCAAAATACAAAGAGCCACCTCGGACCTTAGTAGAGTTCAATGCACGCTCTAAGAAATACCTAGAGCTTGAGCAGATGGAGCTAGAAAATGTAGACCAAAAATGTCAACCTGGTCAGGGAGAAAAGCTCGGAGGTCGACGAGCAAATGACCTTCGAGGGAAAAGACAAGATGACAAGTTTCAGCTCAGAGGGAGGTTCGATAAATATGCCCCCCTGAATTCTTCTCGGTCGCAAATTTGGCGTGAGGTTGCCTCAACAGATATGAAGAAGGTGGAAAGACCTCGGCCATTGCAGAACCCAGCTGGATTAGATCAGTCCCGATACTGTGCATTCCATGATGGGCCAGGTCATACCACAAATGAATGCTGGGACCTTAAAGACGCCATCGAAAAGTATGTCAGGGAAGGGAAGCTGCGGCAATATCTGATCCGTACTCAAGGATGGAGAAACAGAAAGAGGAGAGGGGGTCAGTTCATGAGTCCCCCCAAAGATAAGAAGTTCAGAGAGGAAGATCGGGGTAAGAAGCCGGCCAGGGAAGACGATGAGTTCCAGGAGCCAGAATTCGAGTGTAATGTGATCGACGGAGCTTTCGGTGGCGGGCGTGACACTATGAACGCCCGACGAAAATATTTGAGGGAGGTGCTCTCCATTAGGGAACGCCCCAAGTTTAAAGAAGAAGAAGCAGAGCCGCCATTGTTATATTTCACAAAGAAAGAGCTGGAGGATGTGGTGCCAGGGCATGTCGATGGTTTGGTGATTACAGGAACGCTGGTCAATTGCAGAGTTAAGAAGATTTTTCTAGATAATGGAAGCTGCGCCGACATAATTCTATGGCATGCATTCCAAAAAATGAATCTGGATGAGGAAGACTTGAAGCCATGTGACACAGCTTTAATTGCGTTTAATGGCTGCAATACCCACCCAAAAGGATACATTGACCTTAGACTAACTCTGGGAACTAAGGAGGCATACAAATCCGAAAGGGTGAGGTTTATTGTAGCCGACTTCCCTTCAGAGTACAATGTGATTCTGGGGAGACCTGTCATCCACGATTGGGATATGTTAATCTCAACCAAACATCAAGAACTCAAAATGGTCGGTAAGCAAGGTACGGTGCTTACCATAGCAGGAGACCAAAAGGAATCTCGAGATTGTTACTTCAGGTCGGTACGGATGGTAAATAAAGATTCTGAAGTGATCGATGTGCTTAAGCAGAATAACCATGAACCCTCAGAACGGAGTTCCGTTCATGTGCTGGAGTTAGATATGAGGGACGATACCCAGATGCCAAGGTCGGAGCCTGATGGAGAGCTAGAAGAGATAGTTATGGGTGAGCAGGGGCAGATCACGAAAATCGGCAAAGGGTTAGTGATAACTCATATTTTGTTACACTTATTTATTACTCTTGGTTGGCATTTTTATGATTTATTTGAATTAAATAAAGGTTTTTTGGGTCAATTCACAATTCTAGATTTTAGTTGGGTTTAATTGATTTTCGTCATAATTTTCCAGATTTACACTACTTCCGTATTTTGAGCATATCTCACTATACTGATGTCCGATTGACTCCGTTCTTGTTGATTTTTGCAGCTAACAGATAGGGCTACAATCTCTATTTCAGCTACTGAAGCCCAATTCGGACGAGAAGATGGTCTAAACTTGATCTCAAGATGACGTGTTTTGCTGGAATTTTATTTTTGATGTTTGAACTTGTAATTCACATTAGGACCCAATGTGTTTAGGGCCCAAGACCATGTTTTATTGTTTTATTTTATTTTATTTTATTTAGCTTTTATTTTATGTTTGGGCTGAAGCGGTGAAACCCTAGCGGTCCTGCGTGACGGCTATTTAAGGGGGACTCTAGGAAACCCTTCGGGAGTCAGTGTTTACAACAGAAAAGTATTTTCTCTGAAGCGTTCTTCGCGTTCTTCATCTTTTTCTTCTTCTTCTTCTTATTTCAATTATGCTTACCTTAGCCATGCGAGGCTAAGAACCTTTTAATCAACCTAAGGGTAATGGATTCCATGGATTAGCCTTGAGGGTCCGCGTTTATTTCAAATCAGTTTTCGTTTCCCTTCCAAACTCAGATTGATATCGTGCGATCGTGGATATTCAATCTGAGGTTCGCGATTGCGATTATGGAAAGGGATTAATCATCAGATTTGATGATTAGGTTGATTGACCTTATGACCTTAAATCAAGCGGGCTGATACTCTGCGATTGTATGAGTAGAAACATCGTCTTTGATCAAATGCTAAGCGATCGCTTAGAGAGGGTTGTCAATTGGAAATAAGGATTCTGATCCGATTGACAAATCAATCACGATTCTGATATTTTCTTATCCGAGGAAGGACGTCCATGGATCCCAAACCTTAGGTTGGTTAATTTTTAATTACGAATTTTTATTCCAAATTTATATTCTGCCTTTTTAATTATTCAATCAAATTCAAAAACCCCCCTTTTAATTTCTGTTTTGATAAACGATTTTTACCCAAGCAATTTCCTTGAGAGAGACGACTTAGGGTTTCCACTCTACTACAAATTTTCTGAACCCTAATAATTTTTTTTTAATTTGCGCGAGTTCGACAGCTCGTGTCAGTTAGCGGATGAAGAGAAAGCTCAGCTCGTCGCTTGTTTGAAGAGTACTAGTGACGTTTTTGCCTAGAAGTCTTCTGAAATTCCTGGGGTAGATCCCGCTTTCTGTTGCCACAAGTTAGTTGTTTATCCCGGTTCAAAGCCAGTGGCCTAAAAGAAGAGGAAGCTCAGCTCGGAATGCCGGCAGGTGCTGGAAGATCACGTGAAGGAATTGCTGGAGGCAGGATTCATCCGGGAAATACAATACACAACCTGGTTGTCTAACGTGGTCATGGTTAAAAAGCCAAACGGAAAATGGAGGGTGTGTACTTATTACACAGACCTAAATAAGGTATGCCCCAAGGATGCATACCCAATGCCCAACATAGATCAATTGGTCGATAACTCATCCGGGTTCCGAATGCTGTCTTTCATGGACGCCTATTCGGGGTATAATCAAATCCCGCTACACCCCGAAGACCAGGAGAAAACCGCTTTCATTGCGGAAAAGGCGAATTATTGTTATAATGTAATGCCTTTCGGGTTGAAAAATTCGGGTGCCACGTATCAAAGGATGATGAACCAGGTATTTGCTGATCAGCTAGGCAAGAATGTTGAAGTGTACATTGACGACATGATAGTAAAGTCGGTTGATATGGCAGCACACGTCCGAGATTTAGAGCAGACCTTCGGTAAGTTGAGACAGCATCGCATTCGCTTGAATCCTGCGAAATGTGCCTTTGGGGTCTTCGCAGGAAAATTCCTAGGCTTTATGCTTACGCATAGAGGGATTGAGGCAAATCCAGACAAGTGTGGGGCAGTATTAGGGATGACGGCTCCGGCAAATAAGAAAGAAATACAGCAATTAATAGGACGGTTGGTGTAACACCCCAAATTTTTAACAATTTATAAAACAATCTTATAATAAATAAATTGTCAAAATTCATTTTGTTTTACAATTATAATAATAGAAATATTGCGGAAGCTAATCTAAATCTAATTTGGGGAATGTTACCGCCGCACCTGTACAATGGACAGGTGCAAGGCTAAATTTATTACATTAAAATAAAACCAAAGACTAAAGTTTAAATAAAGGAAATATGTCTTATGCATTTATTTAAATCTCATAAAATTTCTAAACTTAGGAACTAGCTAGAAATATTCGAGTCGTGATCCTCACTACCCACAGTTAGCCCCATCCTTTGCAACATGCTTCACTAAAAATCTGCTCCCCCGTGAAGGATCATTGCAGTTAAACAAACACAAAAGTCAGCAAAACTGGTAATCCCAATCAAAATACAATTAATGTAATTAATAACAAATTAAATCAAATATCAAATAGTGTTCAAATCAATTCCACATTAATCAAATCAAATATTAAGATAATAATCAAAATTCCATTATATAATATTTATCTTTATTAAGTTCATTTAATGTATTTGGTAATTATCAACTAACATATTTAGCACAACATTAATCATAATATGATAATATTCGCAACTCAATGACATTCTTCATAATCAAATCAAATAACAAATTAAATCATTAATAATGTTTAAGTTCATTATATTTAGTGGGAAAAGAACCATGGTAGACTCGGGAAACCCTTCCAGTACCCTGTGACCCGGGAAACCCTGCCAGTCACAAACAAATCATAGTGGCCATAATCAATTCACATCTTCCTAGTGTGCACACCTCTTCCCAAAGTTGCTACTAGTATCCCGGGGAACCCTGCCAGACACCACTTTGAGAAGAACGGATACAATCTTTTTCACATCAGTTTCACATCGGAGGCATAAAGCCCAAAAGTTGTGTTCATCACCTTGGGAGGTACCATCCCAAAGCTATCTTTCCCCCGTTAATTTATTACAAACACAGACAATCAGGAAAGATTCAATCATAATTATTTATTCTTTAAGTATTATCATCTCTAAATGAGTTACTCAAGGGCATTATAATTTTCCAAAGTATCATAATTCAAACAACTATTATCATAAATTTTTGAATTTATATAACAATTCAAATCTTCAACATTCATCATAGTAAAATCCAAATCCGATCATCATCATAACTTTTCAATTTATTCAAGGATATGATAATTCAAATCTTCAACATTCATCACAGTAAAATCCAAATCCGATCCTCATCATAACTTTCTAATTTATTCAAGGATATAATAATTCAAATCTTCAACATTCATCATAGAAAAATCCAAATCCAATCATCATCATTCAAATAATCCCATCACATCAATTATCATAGTTATTAATAATATAAATATTCAAATTCAATCATTAAAACACATATTTGGAAAGTTTTTCTTAAAGAGTAGTATAATTCCATAATTTTCATAATTATTCAATAAGATCCATATATTGCACATGAATTAAATCTTATACCATACATTGCACATAATTATAATTTCTAAAATAATAACATTTTATATCATATATTGCACATAATCATAATTTCTAAAATAAAAGTTTATATCATATATTGCACATAATCATAATTTCTGAAATAATAAAAATTTACCAAAAATATTCTAATTATCATATGTAGTAATTTAAATTTAAAAAAAAAATACCTATATATATAGAAATGTTCATACCAAACTATTAAGAACATCTACGGATTACATATAAGGATTATGCCCAAATTTCATATAATAGAGATAACCTAAACACCTAGGAATTAGGATTACATCCAAGTTTTATATAAAAGAAATAACCTACGAATAGGATTACATATACCAAAATTCATATCGATATAATCTATGACTCTCTAGGGATTAGGATTACCTGGTCTCCGTTTTCGCTAACTTCTAGAAGAAAAGAGTAATTTGGGGCAGAGAACTGGTTGGTAACTAGAAGAATATAAAATAAATTAAACTAAGTTTTTGAACTAAGAAGAGAGAATAGTAGAGGAGAAATGTTGAAGAGTGAATTGGTTTGGTTAGGCTAGACCTCTATTTATAGTTGAAGTTTTGGGCTCAGAATGGGTTTCGTGCATTTATTTCCTTTTTCTTTATTGATGTATTTGACTCAGATATTGACTTCATACATTACTGACTCATTATATCTAAACAATTTATGTTTGTTGACTCATCATATCTAAACAATTTATGTTTGTTGACTCATCATATCTAAACAATTTACTAATCAATCATTATTAATCAAACATTAATACATAAATCATCAATCAATTAATAAATCAATTAATCATGATTTATCATCTAATATATATATATATATATATATATATATATATATTTATATATATTATCACATAAATCAAATAATATTACTATTATTATTATCTTACCTCTTATTATTTTAACTATTATTAACTCATTAATTAAAAATATTAAATACCAATATTATTAATTACAAAAATACTAAATATCATTATTATCCATAAAAAAATTATTATTATATTATTATTATTTTATTAAAAGGAAATATGGGGTATTACAGTTGGTCTCTCTCACTAGGTTCTTGCCCCGGTCAGCGGAGACAGCCCTGCCCTTCTTCAAACTGTTAAGAAAGGAAGTGCAATATGGATGGACTTCGGAGTGCGAAGCCGCGTTCTAGGAGATTAAGAGACAGTTAGCTTCTCCCCCAGTGTTGGCAAAACCAAGGGAGTTAGAGACTTTAATTTTATATCTATCTGTTGGAGACGTAGCTGTTAGCTCGGCTCTGGTACGAGAGGATGAGGATGGTCAACAGCCAATATACTTTGTGAGTCGGCTATTGCAAGGGGCCGAACTTCGATACCAACGATTAGAGAAGGTAGCCTTTGCTCTCTTAATCTCGGCAAGAAGGCTCCGAGCATACTTTCAAGGACACAAGATCTTAGTGCGATCCGACCTGCCGATCCGACAAATACTCTATAAACCGGAACTGGCAGGAAAGATGATGAGTTGGGCTATAGAGTTGTTAGAATTCGACATAGTTTTCGAAAGCCGTAAGGCGATCAAATCTCAGGCATTAGCTGACTTTGTTCGAGAGCTCACTTCAATCCAACATACGAACTTCAGTAGCCCGGATACATGGAAAGTGTATGTCGACGGGTCCTCAAATTCTAAGGGGAGTGGAGCCGGGGTTATCATTGAAAACCCGGATGGCATTGCGATTGAATATTCTATGCAGATGGACTTCGAAACTTCTAACAACCAGGCGGAATATGAAGCCCTCATAGCGGGCTTATTGCAGGCTAAAGAGCTTGGTGAGAGCTCCAAGAGCATAATCTACCTCTGTTTTTAGCTTGTGGTATGATCACCACCTTTGTTCTTGAGTTTTATGCTTAAAAGTGGTACCTTGATGTATGTAATGAGCTAAAATTGACAACTTAACATTGGGTAATGTTAAACACACCTTAAATCGCATGTTTAAGCTTCTATAGTGGGTAAATGAACCACCTTTGGGAAGGATATCTCGCGAAATGCAGAACTGTATTCTGTCGCGAAATATCCGGATATGCATATCTGGATATGGATATCCGGGTATGAGGTCTGTGGATATCCGAATATGGATATCCAGATATTGATATCCGGATATGTCCCCGACAAATATCCAGATATTCTGGGTTTGCGAGGAATAGTAGCTTACTGTTCATCCAAAACTAATGTTTGGGGGTTTGTGGACCCTAGATTGAGGAAGTTGAACTTCTGTAATAATTGAACTAAATCAGAATCAAGTGATTAAGGGCTTGTGGCTTGTGTGAAGCCTTAATACGTAAAACGTAAGGAAAGGCGTTGTCTTTATGTTGTATGCTTGTAGAGTATGATTGTTGATATATTATTAGTTCATAACAGATTGTGATACTGCTGTGTTTGGACTTTGAGAATGTGTGGACTCTTGGCTGGGATAGCTAGCTTGCAAGGTAAGCTTTCGTGTCCTCGGTTTAACCATGTTGTGGTTCCACCATGTCCCATGGGGATATGGTTATATGCATGTTGTGTTACATGCTTTGATATATTGAAATGCTTTGAGCTTATATTGTGCAATGGCTTATGATATGTATGTGGTGTTCACCCGATGGGATGGTATCCTAAGGGTAGGTACGGCAGGGCGCATACTGTGTGGGTAATAGACGTATTCATACATTTCTTTGGCCAGTAGATTATTGTATTGACACACATGACATGATTATCTGCTGCATTGCACTATTTTGGAAATGATATTGTTGAACTGCTTTTGAACTTATATTGCACATGTAAGTGAGCTTGGGGTGGAAGATCTTTGAGGACCCCTTGTCTTACTGAGATTTCTGGTTTAGAGATC